CCCCATTGGTGGAGTGGCTCCACCTGCAGTTCACTCCTGATTGACAGGGGGGCAAAAACCATGTTTTTAAATATGGCACCATTTTTACCTCCCACCACTGAGGGACCCCAACAACCCCACCGCTTGCGCCTGGCTGGAGGAAGGCAAAAATGGCACCATGTTTAAAATTGCCGTTTTTGCTTTTCTGCCAATCGGGAATGAGCTGAAAGCAGGGCCCTCCACCAATCACACGTGGGGGCAGGGCAGAGAAACCTGCAAAATTAAAGGAGCTACAGCATGGCCCACTTCCCCTGTGAATTTGGTAGGGTCCTATTTATAGGTCACCCATAATATTAGCTGTTTTGTTTTGCTGTCACCTTTCCCATGGGTGCTTGACATGACCAGGAAGTATGTCATTTTTAAGGTCCTAGATGGAAAAAATTAGAGCCCAGAAGAGAACTGTATGACCAAATATATTTTTAAAATATCTATGATTTTATATGCAAGTGCTGTTTTACTCTGAAAAATGACTTTGCAAATAATACTCATCTGATTTGTTTCCTGTATGCTATTCTGTCATATTTATCTGATTTTAATGACATAAGATTTTGCTTCTATCTCTTGTAAGAAAACAATTCAGTTAAATAAAATAATTATACTACACCTTTTACATCAACAGAATTGAATACTAAGTTCTAATGATTTATTCTTTTGCAAATTCATTGAAAAAAAATGGAACAGAGCAGTTATTGCTGAGGATATAAGTTGAAGAACCTGAGATAACATAGGGGTAAGCCAGGGCCTGGTTTAGCCTATGGAACCATTTTCATCAACAGTGATATCTGGAGAGAAAAAACCCAACTCAGATTAATTTTTAGATCTCAGGCTGAAGCTTCAAGGCTAGAAGTTTGTTTACAATGTATGCTCATTTGCAGAAATCATTGAGACATGGATCTTCAGTGTCATTTCTAGAGTCACTGTTAGGAGCTTTTTTTTCTGTCCCAGAGAGGGCTGCTTTTCTAACCAGAATCATTCCTCAAAAATTTTACCACCTAATTGGAGGACTAAATTCAGGCTGAGAGGCATTGCATTAGTTGTACCTGCTTTGCCCAACATCTGTATAGATTGGGCATTTTAATGGAGCTTTTTTGGGGCACTTTTTCTAATAGCTGATTGAATAAGCTATTAGATAAAAGCTCCAAAAAGCCCCACTTAAGTGCCCAATATATACAGCTGCTGCAGAGTTGGGTCAAAGGAACGTACTGCTTCTTCCGGTAAAGCATGGTTGGTTGGTTGGTTGGTTTGTCTTAACATCTGCAGGCAGCCACTAGAACTTTTATGAAAGAGTTAACGGTAAAGTAGTTTTCCTATGCTTAGCTATAGGAGAAGCAAGATGTTTCAGCTGTTATAATATAACTGTTACCTGCATCTTTTGATATCCATATAATTGTTACCTCTGTCTGCAACCTTAGTAGGCAGTTAGATCTGAAAAAAAGGGGCTAGGGGCAGGGACTGGAAACTCAATAATCTGTTATCTGCTACTTTTCCAGCAGGGTGAACGCTGCCTGGAGCTTCCAGCTGTGGTACTGGAACAATGTAGGTGGTAGAGAGAGGCAAAGTGATCCCTTCTTTCAGATGGGATAGTGGGCAGGGGGGCTTCAGGCAGCCCTCTGTCAAAGAAACTTATTACAAAAGAAGGAAGGACTGCACTGGATGACCCTGCCAGATGTGTTACTAAATCACATTCCTGAAGTCTTGTCTTTATGAGCTCACTGGAACAAGACATTTTTTATTTCTATTCGCTCCTCCAGAGTCTCCTGATGTTGCAAGGGGTTGTTAGTGGCAGAATATTTATTTGGACTCTCAAATTCTGTTTCTGAAACCTCCTTCCCTTAAATGATGTGGGTGTCTTCATCTTATGCTTGGAATGTTTCCGTATATAAGCAGTGGCATGAAATTAACTTATTTCTTGCTACAGATCCTCTTGTAGTGAAACACTACCATCATCCATGGAATTGATCACAGTAGTATTCATTTGATAATGCCATAAGCAGCAACAGAGACTCTTGATCTCTGTTTGCAAATTCAAGAAGATGGGATTACATCAATTTGTCGTTGTTTTACACTTCATTTATTTCTAGAAAGTTATGTTTTGCAAATGTAAAATCTGGAAATGTCATGTTGTTTCAGTAGGGGTGTAGGTTGTCGCCGTGTTGGTTTAAGGACATATGCAGGCAAGGTTCTTTGGGTGAATCTGATATCTTTTATTAGACCAACTTAAATAGTTGGAAAACAACTATTAAGCAAGCTTTCGGGTTCAAAAACCCTTCATCAGGCTAAGGAAGTTTCAGCAGTTGGTGTGTGCACTTCCTGGATGGAATGAAAAGTAACAAAGCCAGAGGCTGGGCTGGTATGCATGCAAGACAGGCAGTCAGTGAAAATGTAGATTGAGGAGTCAATAGGTGAGAGACCGGGGGCGGCGGGGAGGCAGAGAGAAGGGGGATGAAAGTGGAGAGGTACCTGGGGAGTCAGATGTCAGGCAGGTTATAATGTGTCATAAATCCAATGTCTATATTTAGTCCATGATTTTTAGTATCCAGGAGGTTGATGATGTGAAGTTCATAGGCTCGTCTCTGGGAAGTGTGTAAGTTCCCTTTGAGGATCAGGACTGAGAGATTGGAGAGAGAGTGGTTTTCTTGTGAGAAATGTGCCCCCACAGGTAATTGGGTATTCCTGTCTTTGATAGATTTCCGGTATGAATTCATTCTGGTGTGCAGTTGTTGTTTGGCTCATGTTGTTTCAATGAAATTTTAAATTCTGCAGTTTATGGCTTTTTGTTTCACAGTTGCCTTCAAATTTATAAAATCCCACAAAAATAAGGCTGGAAGGGACCTCAAGAACTCATGTAGTCCAACCCACTGATCCAGTGGCCAGTTATTAACCTAACAGACCAGTTCTTCTGCATGTTATTTCAATTTGCATATACAATTTTTCTTTGCATGCACAAATTAGGGGGGGGTGTGCACATGCGCACACACTGTTGAACTACATGAGCTCGTGGGGGGGGTTATGTGCATGTGTGTGTACACATGGGCATTTTGGTTTAGCAAATCTCAAAGTCCTCTTGCGAGTGTACCAGGAGCCATACATAGAACAAGCTGTTAACTGCCCTGAGGATAGTCCGAAGGATGCATCATTCTGCTAAAGAAATTTTTAAAAAATTACTTATAGAGGAACAAGAACGTAAGTTAGGAAGAAAATACAGTTAATTAGCAAATACTATATTTCTCTAATTTATAGCTGCCTTAGCTATCTTGGGACTGAATAACAATTAGAAAATACTGAAATGATAGCTTGCTTGCTTTACAACAGAACTGAGACTGGGAAAGGACATTTTTGCCAAATAAAATTCTGCTTGACCTACCTGAGTGTTGAATGAAGAGTTTAAATGGAAACCTTGGTCTCTGAATTTATGAATATTATGAGCAAAAAAATTGCCAATTTTCTTTTAGTATTTGATAGTAACATTTTTTCCTCAATTAACAGTAGTTTATCAAAGTTTACAGTACTTGAGTTTTAGAGAACATATGTGAAAGTTGAAAGCTTTATTTGAATGTTTCTGTGTTGGCACATGTGCAGTAATAATAAAAGAGTGGATTATAGTAGTAATACGGTGGATTTATAAGGGGGAGGAAAAAAAACCTCACGATAGATAGCCTCATGGTAGCAGAATATTTACCTTATAGTAATCTTTATTTAATATAAATTTAAAGGAAGCAAGACCTTTGTTGAAACCCGAATTTCTATTCAAGCAATAAAATATATTCTAAATGGATTTTCTCATGTAAACCATTATAGCTGATTACAGGTATTTAAGTTCTGCAAAAGGCAGTGTCTTAGCAGTATTTGAATAGCTTATGCGCTAATTGGTTGTTCAACTGTGCTGTGTCTTGGTTACCTGTGAGTTTTTGTTCATCAGCATGTTTTGTTACAAGGTAGAGTATTTTGTAACTTATTTTGTATCTTTTGTTAGATTATTCCCTGATGATGCATTTTGCTTTCCTTTATGCTTATTTCAGCAATCTGGACAGAATTTCTTGAATTTTTTTTAAAATATAACTGTCTAAAGAGTATAGTAATACTTACCTGATATTAGCAAGATTTTGTCTTCAAATTTTATTCCAACATGGAGAAAATTAGTTTCCTACCATTCACTTTGTCAGAGTATAGTAGTTTTTACAATATTAGAAAAACTTTAAATTTCCCTTTATAAATGAGAGAAAAATTACTTTTAATCAGCTTTGTTCTTTGGTTTTAATGTTGATTCTTTTGAATTCTAGCTATCTGTATAGTAAAGAATGAAGTCTGCAAGATGGATATTGACCTCTTACTTTGCTGCTCGCGTTATATTTTACATTTTTTAAAAAATTACTCTTTCTATGGGTGTTTGGAACAGTCAGCATTAAACTTTAGCTTTTTCTTCAGTGATTTAATGGGAAGCTTTGGGCAGAGCAATCCATAAGCCCTTGTAATTGATGTCATAAGTAATAAAGAAGAAAACTTTCACCTTAACCAGATTTTTCTTTTTTGTGCAGCTTGCCCAGTTTAGGCAGCGGAAAGCACAGTCTGATGGACAGAATGTATCCAAGAAACAGAAAAAAAAGAAAAAGGCATCAAACACCAAAGATGAAGAATCAATGCAAGCTAGTCCTGATATTGACCAATCACAAGGTGATGAAACATCCACGTATAGCAGTCGAAGAGGAGCAGCTGCTGCTGCTGACTTCAATATAATAAGGACTTTACAAAGTGGAGAAATTGTCAAAGATGACCAGACATATAATATTGAAGTAAGTGTTTATCAGATCTTAATCAATTAGGTTACTTTCTGTTTAAGGATGGGCTAAATTGCCAAATGGTTATGAGTGGGGGTTATGAGACTGATGTTGCTTGCATCCACCTTCTTGTCACAATATACCCAGAGGTGATGCGCTTTTTTTCTGTCCTATTTTCTGAGGCAAGGTAACTTTGCTGAGGAATATAATGTATTTAATGGTACAGTTGTGTGAGCTTCTTCATGGAATGAAAGCTGTTTGCTTTTTAAGTTTTTAATAGCATGAAATATATTTCTCAAGTATTGTATTTATTAGGTTACTCCTGGTGAAGAGAAAAAAGTGTAAAACTAAGCATCTGGCTGGTATTCTGAATGTAATTTGACTCTTGTAGGTTAATGGCTGTTAGGAATTTATTTAGAAAACTCTAATTAGTGGAGGCGGGGAGGAGAGCGGAATTGGAAGGCTTAGGAAACCAGATAAGTGGATACTTCAACTTTTGTTACTGGATGGAATATAACTCTGGCCATTAGTAGCTGAAAGTATCTACTATCTGAAGATTATAGAAGAGCTTTTATGAAATAGAATGGCAGGCCTAGCTCAATTTGAAGTAGAAAAACATTTATATAATAACATTCATTATTACTGGTATACATCTAGGTGCAATGAATTTGGGTAATTCATAAAGGAGCATTGCATCCTGGAAAGCAGCAACTTGAAAAAAACAAAAGGATTGAAAGATGTATTGGACAATACAATTTCTTGGAGTCTCAGAACAGCAGAGACTCCCAATGCCTAAAGAAAGGTGACTGCGCCCAAAAGCTTGCTAAGAACTATTTTCCAACTACTCAGTCGGTCTAATAAAAGATATCACATCTACTCAAAGAACCTTGTCTGTATTGGACAAGTAACTCAACATGAACTCTGTCTCTCACTCTGTCCAAAAGGGTTAATATGAAGCTTTTGAAAAGATTTACAAGAATCTTCTGAGTTACTAACACTTTGCTAACCATTATTTTCTAATGTGCTTAGGCAGTAATGTGTAGTTAGCCTGTATTACAATAATCGGAATAATGTTTGCTTAGTTGGAGTCGCAGTCATGGTAGGTTAGCTGGGTTCAGGTTAATCTCTCCAACTCAGACTTGCAAGACAGCTGCTTTGAGCTGTCCTTTCTTTTACCTAATGTTATTATCTTGACACAGCAGCTTCTAAACATCTAAGGCAAGATTGCTGGAGGCATTACAAAAGATTATTTCCTAAGTGAATTTCCAGTTCCTATGTCACCTTTCTAGCAAGATGTATCTTTTTGTTTTTCTTTTTTGTGCTGCAATATTCAGAGAGTAGTTGATATAAAGGAGGTTAGATATCTTGGCTGGACTCAGTTTGTTCTTCCAGTCATTTTGTAAATAAAATAAATATGGACTTTCTGTGATTTTTATTTTTACTTTTCCTCATTTGAGTTTTTCTTGTCATGAAAAGGAACTTGAGTGTTACACATGCACGCACACCCTACACCCCATTACTTGATGTGATTTCACCGGTGACAGAAGGTTAAATAAAAGTGTGTCTGCTTTTGTACTCTGATATTCTTTCTTCTGTATCTTGTTTATTTCATCAGAGTTGACTGGGAATATTTGTATTCTTTATTCAGCATTTACGGTTTCTTGATTGTTCACCATTGTTTACTTCAGTTTACAGGTTTTTTGTTCTTTTCCTGCTTGGATTTCACAAAATCCTTTTAAAAGGGATTCTAGCCTCTCTAGTTATGGAAATGTACTACTGATTTCATCAAGACCTTTCAGTCAAAAACAACTTCATTTCCGGAAGCAAATAATCTATAGTCATGTTAATAAATGTTCTGTGGGGTGTAATGCTTGGACAGAGGTCTGTAGTGTTGCATAGGATCTGCTCTGAGGAAGGGAGAGAAGGGTCTGTTTTTGTTGGAGTTTCAAGATCAGTGCTGCACTGTAACTCACTGATACATTACAACTTTCCCTTTCCATTGTACCTCCGCTCTAAATTCCATATGAGATTTTCATCATAGTTGCTGTTCTGTTGGCTCAGAAAAATTTGATTTCCAGTCTGGAAAGGAGACATCTGGAGAAGAATTATAACCCAGACTTCTTGTCTTTAAGTTTCTGGGCTTGACCCAACTTTATTTTAAATTTCCTTCTGCCCACTTCCCTGTCTCTCAAGGATGGTGACATGTTGTTTTGGGTTACATTTTTTTGAATTCTGTAAAGGCTGTCAGGCATCACTTTTCCTGTCTCCTTCCATAACTGCCATATTGTTTTTAATTCTTGTAATGCCTTGTGTATATTTCTAAATAAAAATAAGAAACAACCTAGTATGCAGTATGGGTTTTAGAACTTTTAGTTCTGGAGCCGGTTTTGTTCGAAGCTGTCTTATTGCTAAATAACAAAACCATTACACAGTGTCCACCTTGAGGACAGTAAGTTTCAGCTTGGGATCACTCTTTTTGTAACTCCTAATAGAGCAGAGAGTTATTTGTTCTGTAACAATATACCAATACCAGTCATGTAACAGAATATGGTGCTAAGCAGAACTAAATTTGTCTCACAGTAAAATTCTCATCAGAAGTCAAGGACAGTAGATACAGCAGCAAAAACACTCAGAGTCATTAATTGAACATTAGTTATAGGTCACAAAGTTTTATGACCAAATAATCAAATTTACATTGGTAACTTTTGATTTTTTTCAGGGCAAGTGTGTGTCTGCTAAATGGTCTTTGGAATATGATAGATAATTTTAGCATCTTGTTTAGCCAAGGTTCTTATCCCAGATTTCAACATTTCATTTTCATAACTTATTTGAAATATTTACAAGGTTGTTACCTCAGTTCAGCAGCATTTTATGTAGCTTATATTTAATCTTAAAATTAAGTTACTTTAGATGTGGATACATTTCAGCTTTGCTCATTCTTTAAAATAACATGAAGATATGTCAAGACAAGTTTCCTCTTCAGCAGTAAATGAAAATGTCATTTAAATGCCCTTCAAGTGTACAGTATAACTTCTGAATGTATGATCCAGCTCCTAAATATAAATATTTGCTAGTATTAGGGACCCCTGAATAGTTTGTTCATTGTAAAATGATAGCTAGCAAAGAAAGACGCATCTCTAAAATGTAACTGAGGTTACTGAAAATGTCATTTCTCTCCTCTTAAACCATGAAAAGTGGTCCCAGTTAAAGGTAATTTTCTCTACTCTAGGATGCTTTTCTGGTATGGATGAAATATTAACAACAAGAATGCTAACAAAATTTGTCAGCAGTTCCTTGTTCCCTAACTCATAGATATGTACCGTTTTTCTGCTTTACTCTAACAAAAGAAAAAAACTTTCTGTGGCTGTTTTTACTTGTTGTTGTTATTATTATTTTCCTTATATCCATTGGGCCCTTTCCAGAGTGGGTTTGATTTAAATCAAATTGATTTGAATCATGATTAAAATCAATGGTCAGAAAGCCTTGATTTTAATCACTGTTTTCTACAACAAGTTCATTCTTGTTGTTTGATATAACCTTCACTAAAATATTCCTAAACAAGGTCTTTTTTTTTATGGTCTGGCAAGCCTGCTGCCATGGTAGGTTTTCCCTTCTACCATACTATTCCCTCACTAGATCTCAAATCAATGAAGAGGCTATACTCAGAAACTTATCCCTCAAGACTTCTGAAATATTCTCCTTAAAATGTTTCTACTGCCCCTCCTTCCTTTCATTTATCTCCAGGCTCTTCCTCCTCCTCCTCTTCCTTGCCCAGATCTACTCCAGCCCCAGCTATTTTCTTATTCATTTAACTTTTGGAAACTTTGCATTTTTAGAGAGAGGTAAGGGCTTGACTCTGTGAACACAAACTTGCAGAGAGGCAATAGGGTTGATGAGAGATAACAGACCTGATTACCTACCCATCTCCGTATACTGTTATTAAAAAGGATTTTATCTCTGGAGACACGAATCCAGTTTGAGAACTGAAACAAAGCATCCTATAGATGCTTAATGAGATCTAACCTGAGCACTGAGTCCCATTGGGTAGAGTGGTTTTCTTTAATCTTTACTAGTCTATAGAGGAGTCTCTGGGAACCCCATAAAATTGGGCCCCTAATATAGACCATGGCATGTTGCGACCTATTTATGAAACTTTCCTTAAAAAGTGACATGAATATATTGTCTCAAATAGTATATAATTCGAATTTATAATCCCTATTCCATGATGATATCTTTGAGCTCTAACAGATCTTAAATTAATACTTTAAATTATCTTAACAAAAAAAATTAAAAATATGATTAAATAAAAAAAATCTGATTTGAATTAAAAAATCCAGATTTATAATTTTTTTAAATCGTTGATTTTTCTCCACCCTGCCCCTTTCTCTTCATTGATGTATTGGAAGAAAAGCTGCAAGTTCATTGTCTCAGATATATAGGAAGAAGGACCAGATATGGTATAGTAAGGTGCAACTTTTTATTGTAACTCATCAGGTTCTTTCTCATTCATTTGGGAAGGTTGCTGTTGATCCCCCTTCCTCCCAAACCTGGTCCCTGGCCATTGCTGAGACGCTATGTCCTCCCCCCATGTCATGGGTAATGGTCTGGGGAAAGGGGGTTATTTTTTCCTGTACCAGACTTTCTGGACCCACAGTATTGTATTCCCTAGCTTCTTCAAGTAGTGTCTTCCTGTAACTCCAGTTGCAACTAAGCACACCCTATCCTAATGGGAATGTGTACTGCACATTTGCCACCTACTAGGTTGTGACAACTTGAGCTGTATCCCCTGCTTTTCCCCACTGGGTCCTGGTACTATTTTGGCAGAAAGAAACCAAAAAAAAAAAGTCTCCTCTCATCAGTCTGTCAGTGAGCTTGGTCCAGCCTCAAAAGAGGACAGCTTATGCATTGCCCATACCACCACAAATTCAGTCCTATTCCAATCCCATGGATGGTAGCCACCAGTCTGAATGTGGAGTGGCTCCGCTTAGTGAGACAAGACATATATGCTCTACACT